TAAAATAAACTTTGATTTTTCCTCTTAATAATAACATAAGCATTTAGACAATAAAATCTTGTTTTTGGCAAGGTTGGCATCTTTTTTTATCAAGCTATTCTCTTTTTTTAGCGATTTTGTGGAGGTACCTAACTTAATGATATAATTATTAAAACTCACATGTCAGCTGAACATAGGTTTAAATATCACTTTGTTACTTTTTTTGTACCAAATGTTATAAAATGAAATTTACCTATGCTGGTTCCTACAAAAGGCATAAACAGTGACTTTGGTTCTAATAAGAGATCATGGATTTGAACTAATATTCACTGAATCATACTATATTTGAAAATAATCACCATCATAAACTTGTGGCAGCAACTGACTATGAGACAACTGAAAGTTGACTCCTTGGTGTTCACATGAACACCAAAGCAAAAACCACAAAAATTCAATACAACTAGAATGATATTTGACCCCAGAATCACTTCTTACACAAAAACTTTAAGAAATTTTTATAGAATACTGAAAATGTTATTCTTAATGCAAACAATGTTTATTCTAAATTATAGCTTGTGATTGCATCTATATTTCAAAAAACATTCTTCTCATAAAAAGTTTAAATGAAAATATCTCAAACACATTCATATGTTAAGTATTAAACTTATTTAATTATTATATTTGTTTAACATTCAGTTTCTGGTAATACATTTTTATTCTTTTTTCTATGTTATCCCTGTTGCTAAGCAAAAGGGAAGGCCAAAGAAATGAACTGCTTATTGTCTTTACATATATCATTATACTTAGGAAACTAAGGGACCACTGTTGATTGAATTTTTAGTACAAGTAAAACATTATATATTTTTAGTTAGAATTTCTGTTTAACCCTTTAACATTCAATATGCCCAAACCAGTCCCATAAATATTGGCTCTCAAAGTCTCACTGTTTTCATGACTTAATATGTTATTTGCAATGATGTTGTCATATATTATGGCAGAGTATAGATGGGGCAGGTTATGATGGGTTGAACAATGAGAGCTGATATTTACAGGGCAGGTTGAATGCTAAAGGAAATGAAATGCGCTTCAAACTCATGTTTAATTTCAGTATCTGAAGGAATTACACAAAAAAATCCAGGTACCCATGTTTTTAGCATAAATTTATTTGTCCCATTTTTTATCGCAACAATCAGACATAACACCAACTATGCTTTTGTGAGAAGCTCGCATTTATGGCCTCCTGATGGCCATTGTTTATACTACAAATGGACACAACAATAAAAAAAATTCTTTTCAAAGTCTTGATTTTTTATTGACTGGAAAAGTCATAGGGGAAAAAAGTTATAACTTTGGTTTTTGGCTAGGAAATTATCTGTTAGTTACTTTAGATATTTAAACAAAATGATAAATATTTGGTTCAGTTAACCTGACAGCTATGGATTAAATAGGAGGGTAGATTGAGGTCACTAGCCTCGAGTAGCAACCAGTCTAAAAGAAGGAAAATTTCAAACATAATCCATTCCCACCAGCTTTAGGTTAAATAGGAAGGTAGACTAGGCTCTCTAGCCTTGAGTGGCAACCAAACTAAGAAAAAGAAAACTGAATTCCAAAACCAATGATTGAATAAATCTGGGGAAAAGACACATCCCTATTTCATACCCCTTTCTATATTAATCTATCTAGACTAGCATCCGCATCTTGTTCATTATTGTCACAATGTTTCAACCATTTTAATTCTTGTCCTGCTTGGTATTTGGAGTTAATTGAAAACAACTCTACCATCTTTCTCAAGATAGTATGTCAATTCACAGATAAAGTAAAAGGAATCATTGGAGACAGTCATGATCTCCTATGCCATAAAGGTACAAGGTATCTAAAAAAATGGTATATAAAATTGGTATGATTGGCAGAGATAAATGTATTTTACCCTCCCAATATTTGCAGTATAATAAAACTTACATATATGGGTGAATAAAAAGAAAGGCATGTATATAACATTTCAGTTACATCTATATAAATAAATGCAAATGTCAGTGTGTAACACTTTTCCAACTTTACTCCTAGAGGCCATAACCCCCACATATCATACCATTTTGGAATCAGGCTAATGCCATGAGCAAATTAAAAACATTCCACCTGGATCTGCAATCCTGAAATTTGGGATTTTTTTTTACGTGAATTTTTGACAAATGTTTTTGTACAATAACAATTTTTATAAATTTGAGAATAATTGAAATTAATTGCAAAATCCAGTGAAAGTCACCCATGAAATGAAAATAATTGTTTGTCCGGAAAATAAGGACCTATGTACATCAAATTGTCTTTAAATTAAGTGGCAGCAGAAGAATTATCATTGAACTTTTAAAAGGTAAGCTTACATATTAATGCAATACTTAAATGCAACAATCAATTTTAAGTTCTTCTGTAGCTTATTGTTGTCTATCACATACGGAAGCAGTATGCCTCATAAAAAGAAATCTGCCAACAGAGGACCAGATTGCAAATCAAAAGAGCTAAGGCTGCAGCAGGGAAAAAGATAGTCCCAGGCAAATGAAAACTCAGATCAAATGGCAATCAGGAGAGCTTCCAATACTGAGAATATGCAAAGCCTTAGGGACTCTCAAACTTCTGAACAAGCCAAAGGCCCAATCAAGTGCCCTGCACAGGAGCTAACTTAATTACCACCTAATAGGGTGGCTTTTAAGCTAGTATTTACATAGACTAGAATTAGACAATAGTTTGTTCATGTAGTGAACTGAATGCGTATTAGATGCTATCAAAAGGGAAAATGAAATTAAGTCTTACTGGTAAGTTGCCTTGGTCACACATTGTGTCAGTTATGTGGTCTTGGCAATGAAAGTTGTGAGAAAATGGAAATATGGAGTAGACATGTAGTCATTTCAAAGAACTAGCACCAACTGGCAAAGTGACTTACATTTTGTATCTTAGTCATATGATGCATATATTACCCTTTGACATGTGCATAAATTATAGCTTTGTCAAAGACAGATAACTAAGTTTTCTAATTTCAATAGTAAGACTATAATAAAAAATATATCAACATAATAGATTAGTCATTTTCTATAATTTAACTTGCATAAGATGTTTATTGAATATTCAATCGAAAAACCTATTTTAAAGTTTTCATTAAGTAACTGCTCTTTCAAAAGCTACCTTTAAAATCAGTTTCCTGTTTCAAAATCTCATGCACTATTTTAATAATCTACCTTATAAATTGATATAGATTTCTTTTGAAATGTTATTCTATAAAAGTTATTGTCTTTTTCATCTGTTTCTTCGTTTTCTGTTATACAAAAGGAAACAGAGATAGAAAATATACTCTAGTTTTTATCCATTGACTGCTATATCATTACAGTTGCTGCTACTGCCTCAGTTTTGTTACCATATTGTTTTAAAATTATTAAAAATCTATGAAGAATGATAGAAAAATATATTTGATGCATGTAGTTTTTTGTTTTACATATTATTAATGGATTTTTTAAACAGACAATTTCTTATTACTATAAATGTTATATTTAGTGGGTATACATGTTTGAGTAGACATACAGGTATATTTTAAAAAGTGAAATTAATGTGTACTCATCTAGAAATCAAAAGTTTCATAAAAGAAAATGTGCCATCTGTATTCCCTTTTTATCCAGTAAGCCAATTTAAAAAGGAATACAGGTTCAATTTCTGTCATGTAGGGTTTACAGGGTTAATTTGATTTTCTGTTGCCTGTAGAGTTCCTAGCACCTCAGACAGTAGGAGTAACTGGTATGGTTAATGAGCTTTCTACGAAGCAAAAAGGAGTAAGTTCAAGTCTCAATGGGAACTTCTCTTATTTTCAATCTTTGCTGTTTGTTTGCTGCTGTAAGGGTAAAATTAATGACATTTTCTGTATACCTCTTATTTTGCAGCAATGATTTCAATCATCTGATTAAATATAAACCCCATCAAAAGGTTATCCTGAAATACACATGCTGATAGAAGTATGATGCATATGTAAAATCTTTTTGTCTCAAGTGTCTTTCAAACTTTTTCTTCAAAATCATTAACTCAATATTTTTAACCATCTGAAAAAATCATCCGCATATATAAAAAATAATACATATCCATCACACATATGTTTGAGTATGTGTATGTATAAGAAGTATGGATACTAATGTCAACACTGAGTTGCGATAGTCTGTTTCAATCGATCTTCAGGCTACATATCCTGAAGATTGAGCTCAAGCATGAAACAAACTGTCACCACTTGGTGTTGACATCAAATGTCCACACTTTTTATATGTACACATGCTCTGTCCTGGATACTGTTCATCATTACCCTGTAAATATAGCATACCTCAAAGATATATATGTATGTAAAACACTTTTATACATCACCAGAAGAGGCTGTTATATGGAGATAGATCAACTGTCCATCTCTGTGTAGTGAATGGATCTTGCAAACTGAATTTAATGGTATTTTCTACTTGATAACTAAAACTTCATAATTATTCAATGGTGAATAGAATGCTATTTGATGCACTCAGTATTCAAGAAGTATTGAAGATAAATTAAGTTTCAAAGCAACAAAGTTTTTGATATTTTACAAGTACAATACTATTATAAAATTAAATATTTAATTTTTAATTCATTATTCCATATTTAATAATTTAAAGAATTCTGATTAATCTGATAAGAATAACTTATTTGAAGTCATCGTTTAATTAATTAAATAATTCTAAATAATACTCTTCCATAGCATCTAGTGTCACCCAAGATATCTCAGAGAAAGGAAAGAAAAATGATATGCATTATAAGCATCAGTAATTAATATCTGTGAACTATTCCCTTTCAATAAGAAAATATAGACAGCTAAATGTATTACCTTGTAACACAATGAAAACAAGCTTGTGTATAGTCCATATACCATAAAAAATATATACTAAATTCATTTGTACAACGTCTTGAAATTACTTCTTTTTTTTTTAACCCAACTGCTTTTCAGATGAGTACTAATTATATCAACATTATTATAGCATATTTTCATGAGCAACATCAATGTCCATTTCTTTGTATTTTGCTGGGAATCTTGATCTTTTTATATGCACAAACTTGTAAATGTCCTCAAAATGCTTAGGCAAGAGCTCACATCCACAAATTGTTGCCATTTCATTGTTATAGTTCCATTGTTTCTCCCCAAGCACATGGGCATGATGTTTAGCCATCCCATCCCTCAACCGCTGATCAAAATCTTCTTGTTCATCTTTCCTCATCTCATCTGCTGTTGGAAGAGCAATCTTTCCAAGGAGAACAGCTTTTACAAATGATGCCTGAATGTGGAACAATGGCAAAGGTGTAATATTCATGCATAAACCAATAATAGCCATATTTGGAAAGTCAATATTGATGAGGTGTTTGTAAATGGGAGTCACTCTGTTATACTTTGTTTGAACACCACAATTCTCATGAAGAAAAGGAAAGTTGATTTTGTAACCTGTACACAAAATCAGTGTGTCAATATGATGAAACTCTCCATTCTCAAATACAACACCGTCAGAAGTTAATTCACGTATACCTGGTTTTTGAAACAGATTTTCTGGAAATTCTGCCTGTAATGGCTGACGCCGATGACTCAAGAAAACCTGGAAGATAAAAGATGAAGCATAACATATAAATATCCTAGTGTTGAAGATGTCTGCTTTTTTTCTCAAAAATTACCCCATGTCAAGCACGGCACCACAAAATAAAGTGTGTGTGGTGGAGTATTGCTAAATAAAATGCTAAAAACTGGGAAAGGATAAATTGGATGTTAAATTTTAAAGATTCCTGAGTTCATATTTTTTATCTGATCTTCTCATAAAATGAATATTCTTTTAGATATATTATCTTAATATAAGCATTTTTTTTTTTTGCTTTTCACTTGAATTTATTTTCTGGAATGAGATCTATAGACTTTTTTTTGCATATAAGACTTATATAAAAATTAAAAAAAAAAAAAAATTAAAAAAAAAAATGGAAAAATGGAGTTTTCTCATTTATTTTGAACATTAATGGCAGTAATAATTTTATAAAAATGTTTGAGCTTACTTCAATAGCATTATTATAGAGTGAAGTAAAGAAAATTTGGTCTGTTTTCAGTTTCAGTAAAAAAAAAAGTGAGTTGGAGAAGTTACTTTCTATTTTTAACTTGTAAGTCAAAAGTTGGGGTACATCCTTAAAGCCAGAGTATCATTGATCGCAAGAAATTTAAAAAAAATCATATTCACTTTAAGATTATAAGAGACTAAAAGAATAGGTTTGACAACAGAATAAGCTAGCAACATTTGAGAAGAGAATTTCTAAAAAAAATATTAACAATTTAATTAACTGTTGTATATCCTGCATATCCAATAGCAACATACAAAGTAAGCTTCTTATTGTGATCACTTTGGAACAGGGTCTTTTAGATAACAAGAACCACTTATGATAAGGTGATATTTTAATACTTTTTATGTCTTTACAGAGGAAGCCACTTATTGTGATCCCTTTGGGAGTTTTTTTTTTAGATAATAATAGCCTCTTGTGATAATGTGCTATTTAAATAGATTTATACAATAAAAGCTACTTATTGTGATCACTTTGGAAAAAGGTCTTTTAGATAACTATAACTTCTTATGATAAAGTTTATCACTGATAAAGCAGATATGCATAAAAAATGAGAACTAACAGAACAAAATGCTGATATCAGAAAAAGAAAAAATACTTCAGAAATAGAACGAATACATCAGAGAACTCTTCCATGACAAACAAGAACAACTGGCAATACACAGAAATATTAATGGACTAGTAATATTAAAATCTGAAGTGGAATCTGCACTGGCCAAATTGAACAGAAACAAAGCAGCAGGGCCAGACAGAATTGTAATAGAGATTCTGACAGCCTTAGATGATTTTCACATAAACAAGATTAGAGAAATAATAAATTAAATCTCCAACAGTGGTGATATACCAGAAAACCTATGCAGATCTATTTTCATAGAACTGCCAAAGAAGCCAGGTGCAAACGAATGTGAAATACTTTCAGCCTAACAATGTAAGATATACAAATTACACGGTGTTGATAGCAGACATGAAAAGAAAACTACAAAAACTCTGACAGAAGGTAGTGAAGGAAAATGAAAAGAATAGATTAAACATCAACTGCAAGAAGACATCAACTTGGTTGTTAGCAAAAGGATGAACCCAAAATGCAAATTACAAATCAGAGATACAAAATCAAACAAACACAACAATTTAAATATCTGGAAAGCATTTTCACAGAGGGATGAAAGTACAATAATGAAATCCAAAAGCACATTGGGATAGCCAACGGTGCATTCCCAAAGCTAAGCAAGCTATTAAAAAACAGAAAAACTTTATTAGAAACAAAGAAAAAAAGTACTGAACGGTTATATGATATCTGTCTTTCTATACGCTAGTGAATGCTGAACAATCTCCTCAAAGAAGAAGAGACTTGAAGCAATAGAAATATGATTCTACAGACAGATGCTGAAGATACCAAATATATCAGCAATGACAATGTTTTAGAGAAGATGGAAACAAAAGAGAAACTTATACTTAAAATCAGGAAGGCAGTTGAAATTTCTAAGTCACATAAAGAAGAGGACTTTGAAAATCTCATACTTACCAGAGAGATTGAAGGTAAGAGGGACAGAGGAAAACAACACATAACATACTTATTGAGCTTGAGTGGAACAAGGTTTGGGAAAAATAACAAAAAGACAAAATTTAATAAGGTACAAGAAATTGTGGAGAGCCATGATCGCCCTTGTCCTGAGGGGACACTGTACATAAAGAAGATGTCTATACAGAGGAAGTCATTTATTGCAATCACTTTGGGACACATTCTTTAAGTTAACAGTAACCAGCTGATAACTTTAAGCAAAGCCTAACTATAAATAACAGGAAATATTTTGAAGACAAAAGCATTATTTTGAAAGAACTTCATAGGCATATACTAACATCTGAAGACAATTTAAGCAATCTTTTAAAATAGTTTTAATAATAAAATAACATTGTTTTAGACTATTCTTAACTTAGTTGCAATATTTTATCATAAAACAACAGCAGAAGATTAAATAGCAAGATTAACCAACCTTATTGGCATGAGCCGTCAGTTCAATGGAAATATCAATGCCAGAACTCTTTGCTCCTAAGCAGACAACAGTTTTGTCGACAAACATTTCTGGTTCTCGGTAATCATGACTGTGTATGATAACGCCTTTAAAGATTTCTTTGCCTTTGATTTCAGGAATATATGGAACTGAATAGTGCCTAAAAATTAAGATAAAAATAAATCTGCACTTACAATGAAGTTTATCATATTTCTAAAATATTTTTTCTAATTTGTAAATTGTAATGGTAATATTTGTCATTTTCTTACAAGGAAAAATTTGGCATTTATTGACCAAACAGCCAGCATTGAAATTTATAAAATCTTTCTCTTAAAATAATTTTTCTGGAAAAAATGGTTTCTCAAGTCCAATAGCTGTTATTGCACTTTCCAATATTGACGTGGGGTTTCCTTCCTAACCTTTTATTTGAAGAAATGTGGAAATTCAACATCTTGGTTATGTTATTATTTTCTCTTCAAGTTAAATGTGCTATCCATTTTAGTTCTATTTATATCTCTTTATATTGATAAAAATTATATTTTACATATAGATTTATCAAGACATTATCACAGGTTAATTTATAACCTTAAACTCTTAAAGAATGTTAACTTTACTATGTTATTTCTTTACTAAGAAGAAAGAGAATTGGAGAAGATTTCCATATAGTATCACCTGTGTTATATGGCTTGTTAAGAATGGTATCATCTATGAGCTTACATTGCTGGAAATGAGCCAAGCCAGTTAGGAAATTAGTAATATTTTCTGTTCACCATCTGTTTTTGTTAATAAATAAATAAGGAAACATTCCTCTTTTACTTACTGTGTGCAAAAAAAGTGGCTTTAAAATAGATTGACTGAAAGATCAGCAGCACAAAAAATGTGTTTAATAGTTTGAACAAATCTTAGAATAAATACTTAGGTACTTGGTAAATGCAGTGCTGTGAAAATAGACTAATCTTGTTGGTATATTAATGACCATTTTTCATGACCATTTTATTTTTCAGTTTTTTTTTTTCCTGGAAGAAAGATGTTTTTTTTTATTGAATACATCTGATAAGAGCTGCAGAAAGGATTTTTCAAAATATGTTAACAACAGCAAATATATGAGATTCAAATGCCCAAAATAATGTTGGGCAAATTTAAATTTTGTTTTTTTAACTCTATACAATAAATTTATTTCTATTTGCAATATTCAAAATAAACCTTACAAATATTTCATGCTATATTTGTCAATACCAAAGTCAAACTAAAAAACCTTAGAATATTTATAATGTTTGAAATGATGAACAACCAAAACCATTTATAATTCTACAAAGAATAATACATAAAAATTATCTCTTGAAAACTTACCCATTGCATATGATTAGGGCATCAAATACATCAGAAATCATATTGTTGTCTTCCTTTGAATTATCTGATACTTTTTTATATGTCACTTTCCATTTTACAGAATTCTGTGAACCATCAGAGCCAGGAACCAGTTCCACCAATTCAACTTTAGTTTGAAGCTACAAAAAGACGTACAAACAAATATCAACTGAGAAAACATTGGAAATTAGTTAAATATTAGTTTCTGATATTTATTATATCTGTAATTATATAATTTATAAAATATGATCATTATTTGAATTATATGTTATTTTTATATTAAGTAAATGTTAAATAATTTTCTTGATTTTTGGTGTTTTATCTGTTCATCTTCATTCTTAACTATAGAGTGATATTGATTCTTCAAAGTTTTCAATACATTGCACCTCTAAAACAGTTTAATTTTCACTTGTAGGTGTTTGAAGCTTTTGATGCCAGTATGTTTAAAGCCACAATGTAAAAACCAGTACTAGATTGTCTTATTCTTCATTGATTTGTATGAGGTTGTTTATTCTAGAATAGCAATTTTTCCAGAAAGAGATAATTTTTTATATACCTTTAAGAATACAATCATTACAATTTTTAGAGTATAGGGACAATCACACAAGATTGTACCTACACTCAAAAAGACTGTTTTCAACTGATACCAACCAAACACTACCTGGCCACCAGCATTACTCATTCATCACTTAATCAACCAAATAGTCACTTTAATCTGCACACAATTAAAGGAATTGATGGTCCAAGTAAGGAAAGGAAATGACAAATCTACTTGATTTGCTTTGTTTTTTTCAAGATTTTACACAAACAGATAGTTGTATTAACTGGAATTTGCTGTATTTAGTACATTTTATATTAAATTCCAATACAATAGTTGGATAAATGGGCTGATGGTTAACAATACAAAAAATGAAATCAGCAAACTGAGTTCAGGTTCCATCTGAAACAGTGTTCATTGTGCACTAATGACTTTGGGAAAAGCATGACTCCACCCCTTCTCCTCCTAGCTATGGATTAAGTAGCAAAATCAATTAGGCTCTTTAGAGACTTGGATGGCAGTCTAGAAGAAGGACGACTCTTAATTCAATCCAGGTTCCAAGCCTGGATAAGATAAGAAGGAGGCACTGATGTGAGAAGAGCAACTCCACCCCATAAAAGCAACTTGCTACTGAAACCACAGCAAGGACTCTGTAAGGAATAACAAACAATATTTTATCATAAAAATATTTTATTTTTCATATGTTTGATAGTTTTTTTTTGTTTGTTTTGTTTTGTTCTATGGCATATCAACCTCAATGGGTCATTTAATGCCGACAACTTTTTTTTTCCTGCTAATATTTTTATTTTGTCAAAAATCTATTTCTGTTAATATTTTTTCTTCAAAAATGTATAGCTGGTAATAATATTTTTTCAAAAACATACAGCTGGTAATATTATTTTTTCCAAAACCTATAGCTGGTAATATTATTTTTTCAAAAAATGTATAGCTGGTAATATTATTTTTTCAAAAATATATAGCGGGCAACACCATTCTTTCAAATAAAACATATAGCTGATATTATTTTTTCAAGAACGTACAGCAGGCAACATTATTTTTTCAAAAATGTATTATCAAAGGCCTTGCTGTTGGATGTAGTTTATCATCTTACACAGGACATGGATGTAGTTTATCGTCATACCCAGGATGAGATCTGGGTTTGGGGGTTAACTATTTGCCCATAGCTGGGACCCTAACAGGTGCTACCACCCTGGGTCAGGGTGGACCTGGGAACACCAGCAATTAAGAGGTGGTTCCACACTCCTCAAAACTTCCTGATCAGAGGCCTTGATGTTGGACGTAGTTTATGGTCTTGCCCAGGATGCTGATGCAGTTTATCGTCATACCCAGGACGGATAATTGTTTTTTTGAGTAGAAGAGACGGTTACATTTAACCATTTTGACAGTGAAAGGGTGGGACCAAGATACCAGCCTAGTAGCTCACTTAACCAGCAAAAGTAACTCATCAGAACAGTTGCCATGAAAATACTTGTAGAAGCCATGGCATGTCTGTGAGAAAGTGACTGTAGACAAGATGCCAGATCAGGACCTGTTGCATTGCATATTCATTTCTGGATTTAGAATCACTCTAATATATCCCCTTATAGTTTATTCATTAAAAGAAATAATTTGCTTCACAACAAAACACATTTGAAAATTGATTAATTTGATCATGTAAAAAGAATGCATTGTCAAAATAAAACAATTATATAATCCATACAATGCCCTTTAACTTCAAGCAGCTTGAAATCAGAAAGTAGTTTCTTATGAGATTTTAACTCATTTAATCACATCCTGGGGACTCGTCTTACATGGATGATGCCTTAATTGATTTAGCCTTGGATTTTCTTGAACAAAGAGGATTATTCATGGATATTGTGATCAAAGGAATCATTTCTCATATTCAGAAGGAAGTCATGTCAAGTTAAGTACATAAGTTAAGTACAGAAATGTGTTAAGTTAAGTACAGAAATGTGTATAAATACATATAATGTTAAGGAAATTCATATATAAAACAATAAGCAAGCATTTGCTGTAGTATTTATTTGTCCTTGTCTTTGGTGGGGTAGGGAGTACAACAATTGCATTGTTGGGCTGGTCAGGCAATCTGTATAAAGGAAGACTCATCCCTTGTTTGACCCCTGTTTTTTCTTGTCATTCAACATCTGAATAAAGTAATGATTCTCAACTATACAACTAAAATTACATTGTATTTTCTAGTCCTACCACTAAACTAAAAGATCACTGGTTGCTTGTATATATTACATTGCCCAACAAACATTTTATTACATGACAATAATAAAACACTTTGAGGATTTTAAGTGCTTCAGTACATTCATATACTGGAACAAAATGTTGCTTTCAGCTAAAAATAGACACAATGAGCAAAAGCTATTTTAAAATGCATACTTTTTAAAGATGTAATGCGGCATAATGGCTACTGGCATTGAAAACAGAAACTGAGAACCAGGTTCAAGTTCCAACCAAGGCGATTTGTGTTCACTTCATATTAATACCCATGAAAAAAGGCATATCACTTTTCACATCTACTCAGCTATGAGTAAATAACTGTGCAGACTAGACTCTCTAGCATTGGTTGGCAACCAGTCAAGGAAACAAAACCAAAAGTAGATCCCTCATAGAAGATCAGTTGTAAACTACCTCTTTTCTGTCAACTCCTGCAGCCAAAGAAGGCCAATGGTTGAGATGTCTCACTGTATCATTGGAGAAAGTCAGCTTAGAACATGAGAGTGGGATTATCTCTCCCAATTTTAAAAACATTCAAAGTTTCTGTGCAAATCTAATCTGCACAAATACAAACATCATCAGAAAGATGGTCAACCAAGAGAGAAACTTTTCAATTCCTCAGTGGAAGTTTTACTTTGATAACTATTTAAAACATAGCTGTCAAATCTCAAGTATGGAGTAATTTCACAATGCACAAAGTCACAATGGAATAATTTTTTTGAAGCAGAACTTTATTAAACACTAGCCATTTTATTAAATAAAAGCAGAAAGTGTTTCTGCTTGACTGTACTTAATTAAGAAAATGTACTAAAATATTTAGAAAAGTGTATTCAAATAGAAAAGATAACATCTAATAACTTATGGAACAAGAGTTATGAATACATTCTTACTCTTCTATGACCATAATTTGTTTAGCACCATTTCTCAGGTTAATTTAACTAAGTCATACTTGCTTTTGGCATAGTTCAACATTAAAAATACAGACATTTACTTGTTAAAATGTGTGAAAATACAATCTGGTATAACAGTTATCTGGCATGTTACAATGGTTGACAAAGTGAGTTGGTGAATGAGTATGTGAGTAAACCACTCTCCCATATACTAGTAACCATAAACCCATTGTCAAACCTAACAACATTCCGCATATAATATGTTAAATGCATTTATCACCTATGCATGATCTGAACTCAGTTTCTGTCTAGTCTAGTAACACAACCACAACAAATTCCCAAATAACCAAAGTTCTTTGTAAAAGATATAAAAAAAAAGCCCCTAAAACTCTTATAAATGTAATAAAATGGTTCCTCCCACCCTGAGGTAGCAGACTTATTTCAGCAGACCAATATATTTGAAAAATTATTTATATTGATTTATTAATAGCCAAGTCTCAAAATACAGTGTTACTCGAATTTGTCAGGTTTAATATTAAGAAAACCATCAAGAGAAAAGAAGAGAAAACTTGTCTTTTAAAAGAGAGCTAAATCTATATGCTCTATGTTTAGGTCTTTACGTTTTAATCTCCATGTTTAGGCCTTTACCTCATATACTGTATGTTTAGGCCTTTAAGTTATATGCTGTATGTTTACATCTTTATTATCTAATCACATGTTAACAATTTGTTTAATTATTTAACACTACCACTCATATTCCACACAATTAAAGATGTAAAAATTCCTCTTCACAGCCATGTCATTTACATTTTGGGAACAAGGTAGAAAATAAATAATTGAATAAGAGGATCTCAAGAAATGATGGAAACTTTTGCAGAAATTTTCTAGGATAACCTGATTATTATATAGACCAAAATCCTATTCTATAATGTCAGAATTAATCAAGATTGCATTTCACCATGTCTCCGCTTTAATGAGAGTAATACTGAGGACTATTGTCAGTTGTGAATAGGATCATGGTACATGTCAATTTTACATATGCAATATTGCAGGTAAACTAATGAAAAGTTTATCTGAGGTTTTAGACTCAATTTTGATCCTAAACTCTACTCAACAGGTTGGTTGTTTTTGTTTACCAATATATCAACCTCTATGAGTTATTTAATGCTGGAGTTTAAATATTTTGCACACAATTTTATTTTTTTGTAGATAATGTTTTAGTAATACAAGTTTTACTAACCTATAGCTGGGGGGAGAAGAGATGGGTTCATACATTTCCCACTGGCATTTGCATGTAAATGATTATAACAAACTCAACTGGAATCAGAACTCGGCTCTCTGATTAACAATTCTGAGCTATTATTCATTACACCACCTGCACATCCAAGCTTATGGTACATGGTATTCCCAAGCAGTTACCCATCTAGGTACTGACCAGGCTATATGCCTACTCAACAGGTGTACAAATGTGAGTTTTTACTCATGTATTTAGTCTTCAGTAGAAAATTTCCATGTTTGGGAATCAATTGTAATGACAAATAACTGTACCTTAAATAAAAGGTGATGAAAAGTGGGTTGCATACAACAATGTTCAATGCAAAAAGCAGTGGATTGACAAGGATAAATCTCCATATCTGAGATCCATAGAAATTAATGTTATATGTATGGTGGAAACTTTGGTGTATTATTCATTTAGAGTTCTCAAAATAACAATAAATGCACATTTATGTGTCCAATAGCTACAACGTGTTCATAAAAATTTTGTTGAAAAGTGCCCTGTGCTTGAGATAGGAAAATGTTGTTCTCCTACATGACAATGCACAGCCACATATAGTAAGAATAACAAAGGATGAATGTTTGAACTTGGTCAGTCTGTTCTACTCCACCAGCCATATTCACCAAATCTTTCACCAACCAATTATTGCCCTTTTTCAATCGTTGCAAAACACTTTGATGGAGAAAACTTTCTTTTATGAAAATCAGATTAAAGAGTTTGTCAACAACTTTTTCTTATCAAAACATGTGGAATTTTACTCAAAATCTATTGAAGAGCTACCTGATAAACAAGTCATTGCAAATATATAACTGAGTAAAATGTAATCGTACTTGATTTTTTTAAGAATAAAGTTGATAGAAAACTCAGCCTAATAAATTGTTATAAAAGAATGTAATTTGTAAAAAGCCTACTTTATTTTTATGGTAAAAAGTTTTAATGTCTTAGTGTAATCACTTTCTGAAAGAATAAAATATATAATGCATTTATAAGTGATCACTAACAGTCAACAATAAAGTTTTTATTAGCATACCAACTTTTGTTGTTTCCAAAGTTCAACATGATTTTCTTATAAACTTTTAATATGAGTAAACATCAACTTCTTTTAAATTGAAGCAAAAGAGAGAGAGAGAGAGAGAAAAGTGTTTACCTTGATGTGTTTAAGCAAGTGAAAGTGCTGTGCATAGTCTTCAAGATAAGCACGAACATCAGAATGGTGCAGAAATGAAGGAAGATCTGGATGGTAAGGAAAATCAGGGAAGCACATAACATCTTTGGGCAAATTGGTTCTGAAGAGAAGAACCAACAAAATGTAATAATAAAAATGACTAATACAAAAACAAATACTTGTTTCAGTTTCATCTCCAAACACATCAACATCATAAACTTATTCATGAGTGAAAGAAAAATTTAAAAAAAACTCTTTTGAGAGTATTAGTTATCTTTTTGAAGTCATAAATATCATAGAAGCAGATAAATCTAAATAAATAAACACCAAATTCTGTCTGTCCAGGTGTCTGAATCCCCTCTAACTTAGGCCATACTTGCTCTATATAGATATACATTTTTGGAATTAGGATGGTCCTGGAATTGAAAATCTGCCCTTCATCTGGTGCTTGAATATCCAGCATTGGGATTTTTGTCTGGATAAAGAGGGAACAGTTAAAAATTCAAATTTTAAAATAACTGAAAAAATTAGTGATTAGTATGACGTTTTTAATTTATATTGAGCTTTAAGTAACACAAAAACTATGTGAATTTAATTTTTTTTATTTTAAATTCAGTTTAAAATATCTCCAAAACTTTGTGAATTTTATTTCTTCAAAATGCCAAAAAATCAAAGTTAAAGTGAGAGGTTTTGTGATATGAGGTTTTGAAGTTCTAAAGAGTCTATGATTTGAAGATCTCGACTCAATTGAATTTCCAGAGTTTGTGATTAAAAAAACCTGAAATGGAATTTTGACCCAAATCGAAATTTCGGCCCAAATTGGGCTTTTGGCTGGAATTGGACTTATAGCCCAAATCATAGAAAGTGAGGTTTTGAAGTTCCATGAAGTGAATTGAGGTATTCAAAGTTATTTCTTCAAAATTATCATTGCTGTTTTCTATGCTGGACCAGAGATCTCTTTAATTTTGGTCTAAAGGCCCAATTAGCTCTCTGAAGGAGCTAACTTAAAAAGTCTGCACAGAGTGCAGATTTTAAGTTAGTTTTCAATATAATAAAATGAAATATAGCATAAACTCTCTAAGACATTTTCAAAATGGTAACCATATTTGTGGCACAGAAAGAAAACAGCAAGGCCACCTAGACAAGGTAGTAAAGGAAAGTGAGAAGAAAGGTCTAATCTACCTAGACAGCTTATGATGGAAGGCATGGCAAAAAGATAAATGTTACTAAGAGCTACTCAGGAAGTTATGGAGAGCCATAAACGTCCATGTCCTGAATGGACACAGCATATAGAGGATGTATAATTTTAAATTATGATTATTTTTTCTAAACAGGGCATTTAAATATCAAAAATGCATGCAATGTCAAAAATAGTTCTTATAAAATCTGTGTATAAACATTTAGTTAAGTAACAGCTTCACATAGGAAAGAACTTTCTTCAGATTTAAAACAGCATATTTCTTTCTACAAAGAGAACAAAGGCTGCAAAAATAGCTACACAAATAAAGTTGAGCAAAAACACTTGCAAAAATTGTACAAAAATATGAAGTCAGATATGACTAGGTCAAACATGTGAGATAACACCAAAGTTTATTTGTTTTATCAGGAGATTGGTTGATTCCACGAGAATTGGGGGCAGATGTTTCTATTGAGATCAAAGAATTGTGTTGTAAATGTCCCTATAACAATAAATGTACCTTGAGTAAGACAGGCATAGAAGTCAAATGATTGTAGGAAACCACTAATGATAGAAAATTATGTAGAAAACCTTTAACTGTATGTAAAAAAACATACAACTATTTAGTAGTACAGAAATAATTCAACTCTTACAATGTCCCTATAAACATTATCACTTTCTTATAAATATTGTAATTAATTTTTTTCCTAAAATTAATGCTTCAACTAGTTTTTTAAGCCACTTCTGTTAAAGAATTTGATGTCTATTGGCTAATCAGATTTTTTGCTTGATAACACGTGGTCATCTACTTAGCAATTCAAATATAACTTTTCTTTCCTACCACATTCATAAAATAGTTGGAATTAAGAAAATCTGCTTTCAAAACTGGTTTTCATATTAATAGAAACACCTGTTCTAGTTAAACAACCAAATACTTCTGGAAGAAAACTAGGAGAAAAGCTCCAAATTATTTTAAAACTTTTCTTCTAATAGAAATATATTTGTTAAAAATCTCAGTGATGTTACATTCTCAAAGATTTTTTTCTCTTTTTAAAAAATTTATTTCACAGACGTTTTCATTTCCTGATTAAATTTCTTTCTTTTGCCATAAATTACATAACACACTTTAAAGTAGTTTTTCTAGCACAGTTAGGCTAAAAGTAGGAAATGTATAATTTTGTATTTGTGCGATGATTGATTGATTTCAAAATTATAAATTCACATGTATACAAAGAAAGAAATAACTTTCTTTTTCAAGTATTTAGAAATTAAATATCTTCTAGATCATTTTTCAAGGAAAGGGTTTAAATTCTGTAAAGACTAATAAATGGTAAGCCAAAGATGTGATATCTGGTGAATATAGAAGACAAGTGACATTTTACCAGTCAAGTGGTAAGAAATTGTGTCTAATCACCAAAGAAACATGATGTCTAGCATTATTCTGATGGAATTGTAGTGATAGCAACAAATAAATCATTAAATAACCTCTCACCCTTAGTACTAAACTATGTGGGGAGTATGAAACCAATATAATAAATAATAAAAGAAAAATTAAAAATAATAAAATTATATATATATATATAAGAATGATAATGAACAATAAAGAAATAAAAAGTGAGATTATAAAAAAATAGTTAAATATGAAAATTCCCATCATGCATCAAAACAGGCATTTTGGCTGCCAATTGAAGCAAAAATAAAAATCCTCTCTCTCTCTTCACCACCCAAACAAAGCAGATGTCTGGGGACAGTGTACTGACTGACAATGTGGCTCCTACCAGATAAGCAAAAACTTTATCTCTGTATGCATATATGTACTTTAAAATATACAAATATTTCTCTGAAATGTTTACAAAAGCCTTTTATCATTTTTGTTTACACTTATGGTGTTGTACAGTGTAACCCGGATATAAGAGAAACCCGGATATAAGAGAGATTTTCTCTGGTCCCAAATTAGAGTCTGTGTTAATGTATATAAAATAGACCAAACCTGGATATAAGAGAAACCCGGATATAGGAGACTTCTTCTCCGGTCCCAACAACTCTCTTATATCCGGGTTACACTGTATATGATTTGTGGGGCTGATTTCTTCAAACCTCCAAAATTACATTTTATATATTATATATGCACACACACACACACACAAGTACATTCAGACAAGGCCAACATATCATCAGAACAACCTTCCTTACAATAGAATGTTATGTTCTTAATATTAACTAATTCTGGATATTATTTGTGATTGGTGTTTTCAGTTGTTCAAATTAGCAGCAAGATACATTCAAATTATGTTTGCTTTTCTAGAAGAAGCTCATAAGGATTCATTTACAAATCTAGAATATACACAGTATCACTTTTTTTAGATGAAGGACAAGCTTTGGTATGATTAGTGGTGACTTATTTTATGTATCCCCTGATCTCTCACATTAAATTTTCATTGGTTGTCACTATTTGTTTAAAAAACAGAACTTTAACATTTTTTAACTTATGTGGAAGCTACACATCAAAGCAATTAACATAAATAAAATGGTACAAATAATTTTCAACATTTGATTTGGATGTCGCTATCATAAAATGATAATTATTCTCTTGTCTTCATTTGATCACAATCAACCATCACTGACTTACAATGACAGTGGTGTATTGTTTAGTGGGAAATCTCCAGTACATAACATCACAAACTGCTTTTGAATACATTTGGTCATTCACAGCACCTTTTTCAGAAACTGCACAAATCTTTATGTAAGTTTTAAAATGAAAAGTATATGACAAAAATATTTTCTTTCAGCTTTACTGTTACAATCAATAAACAAAAAAATATTATGTTAATATGGCGGGTGATCAAATGGACCCAAGGGAGCTTTTTTAACCCATTAATGTCCCTCCGTTTCACTTTTGGGGATGGTGGATTATAATTAGAAACCTATTAAGACCAGATTTTTTTTTTTTTTTAGAAACCAATAAACATTGCTGGATTTTTTAAAAACCTATAATCATTACTGGATTAAAAAATTATAATTAATACTAGAGTTTTATTTTAACTTTTATAATTGTTTTTTAGCCCAAGCAAGGCAATAAAGTCACTAAGATACAAGGGGTTACTGAGTCTGAAAGAATATGCAAAAAGGAAAAACATTATTAAAGAGAGAGAACATTGCATTTAAATTTTTGAAGATCAAAGTTGAATGGAAAGCAAAAGGCTGAATGAGAAGTGTGAGAGAAATTGTTAGCATAGAATTTATAGTTACATCTCACCATTTCAACTGTAAAATGACGAAACCTAACTGCCAATCCAGTAGTGCACTTTGTAAAGTTGAGGCAACAAAGAAGAAAGCTCATCAGAACAATTGTCATGAAAATATTTATAGAAGCAGCATAGGAAAGCTACATTATGGTGGTGAGAAAGTGACTGAAGCCAAGATGCGAGGTCATTAATACTTGATTTTAAGGTGAACATTAATGAAAATAAAACTATAGGCTCTTAATGTCATTGAAGGAAAAAATTAAAACTTTTAGTCAAGCCAATACTATAAAATCTATGATATACAAGTGTTGTAAAACAAAAATCTGAAAATGTTGTGACTCAGCAGAGATGAAATACTTTAAATGAGTGTTTTTTTAAGTGCTCTTGTAGAATAAATAACAATTCTTTATCCTACAATTAACATTGACAAATATGTATTGCCTGCATTATAACAATGTTAGAAGCATTTCATTTTTGACACAGTAAAACAAAATACTGAATATGTATGTATAGATATTTCTTTTTTTTAATTGACATATCTTAACTCTATTGGCACTTTCTCTTTATTATTATCCTGATGAAAAACTATTCAAGTGATAGTATGGAAATTTTAACCATTTTCTTCCCAAAATAAAGGAATTATATGCATAATCATATTGCCTGTAAACAAAGGCAACATTATAGTGATGATGGAGAAGATGGAATACTCAGAAACTGGCAAGCATAGTTGTGGGTATCAGCTACAGCAAAGTAAAAAAAGGTCTGTTATAATGTACAGCAAGTGTGAGTTGAGTTTGTGGGAAACACTTAACCAATTGCTCTCCCAAACACTATGGGGGTAATAAGCAGAGAGGGGAAAAGAGACAGGAGGTAACAAAAATATCACTGCCTTGAAAACCACAGCAACTTTAGGAACAACATGCCCACAGGACCAACTTCACAAGACACCGTGTCTTACCAACTGCTGGTTTTCTTCCTGTTCTTATATGCATGAGGCATCTTACAAAGACCCAGATTTTGACCAGTTGCAGAGAGGCCTGTGTCTAGACATGCCAAGCTGTCCCGCTGCTATGAAAAAACCCAGATGTAACTGGTATTGACAAACATGTCCACATGCTATCCAAGGCCTCTTTTGCTTCTGCACAAAGGCATGTTTGCCATGGGATCTGACCCTAAAAACTGAGAAGAAACTGTCACAAATCCTAAAAAACAAAGACTACTTCACACTATATTGATTTGTTTTTTATAGTTTATCAATCTTTTGCAGATTATTTAAAGACAAAATATTTTTTGACTGTAAGAATTTTTTGGAGATAATAATGACATACTGGTACAAGTCCCACTAATTAACATATAACTGGGGAGAGAAGAGGTGTATTCATACCTTTCCCAAGGATATTTGCACATTATTGAATATGACAAACCTGAAGGTAATTGAAACTTGGTTCTCCAATTACTAATTCCAAGTCATTATCTATTAAACCACCTGCACATCCAAGCTTACAGCACAGAACCTGGTATTCCCAAGTGGTCACCCATCTAGATACTGACCAGGCTCAACATTGCTTAACTTCAGTGATTGTAGGAGAACTGGTGTTTCAACATGATATGCCTGTAAGCTGAATAAGTATAGGCAGCTGACTCAACCATATACTAAATTGCCATGTATGTAGATTCTCCCCAAGATTCACAAATTGAGTATTCTGTTGAGACATATAATCAGGACCGGAACAGTTTCAAAGTAGACACAGTCAAATCACTAACAGAAGTGTCCTCGTGATATGTGAAGAATTGAAAACATCATGGAATAAATTCAAGGTGTTCCTATCCATAACAATCAAACAATACGCTTAGATATAGGAAGCCTGTTCACCAGGATTCCTGCAATGCTCTATCAGAAGTTTAAAACAGACTGGAATCTAACCTTTCCCTTGAGGAACATTTTAACATTAAGATAAACTGATAGAAATGTTAACATTCAATGTACAGACAACATTTTTCCAACAAAAGTCTGACATATACAAATAAGTAGAAAGACCGGCTATGAATTTGCTGTAATCACCAATGATAGCAAACATATACATGGAAAACATTGAGTAAATATGAAACTCAGTAAGACCTTTGATGTAGTTCATAATGGAAGAAAACAAAAATCAGCTGATCTTCTCGAATGTACTCAGTAACTTGCACAAATACTTTAACTTCAATTCCCACCATCTATACAGCTTAAAGAAAAGAATTGTTCGATGTCTATAACACTGTGCAAAAATCATAATTGGTAAACAAGACGAATACCAAGGGGAGATAAACAGCATCAAATATATCCTGACGAATACCATCTACACTGTAGTAAACATAACTTCTGCAGGCCAAGACAAAAAAGAGTCTAGGAGAAGGATAAAAAAAAATCTGCTAGTCTTTCCTCAAGTCAGTAGGATTCAGAAGATCTGTGATCCATATAATACCAGGATAATATTAAAAAGCAGTTCAAGCTTATAAAAAAAAAATCATCTCATTAAGCTTTAAATACAGGAGAATATGACTAAGAAATGTATTTTCTCCCTTTCTGTTATGGCAAAGAATACAAAAGTGAAACCAGTTGACTCCTAGGAGTAAGACTGGAAGAATATTGAAATGAAAGCCATAATTAGAGGTGAAACAATGAAATCAGGCATGGCTGATTCCATATGAAAGGAAACTGTTGTCAACAACTAGTGTGGAATTAAGTTAAAAGACAGAGAAGAACAACTGAAGAATCAGATGTGTGAAGGCATCAGTGCATATACTAAGCGGCTGACTAGCATTGAAATAAATACCATAAAGACATTAATAAAGAAAAAATGACAGCAGAGGGAGTCAAGCAAGGCAAGCCCCATGGTAAGGCATCAGCAGTAAGAAAAATTAGATCAAGCATTGTAGTAGTGGCAGTAACAGGCAGACAATAAGAACATTAACTTTCTTAAGGCTTCAAGTAGAAAGCATTGGTTCATGAATTTAGTGACAATAATTGGGAGTCCAGACTCCGTGGAAACAGTACTTACAATATAATTGAATAATACTTGTAATACTAAAAAAAAAAACAGTACAAGATAACCTACACCTGGAGATTAAACAAGGGTTCAGTTCGAAATTCCATTAAAATTACCCAGACAGACACCTGAAAAAGGTCGAAGAGCAAAACAGGCGAAACGCTCTGGTATAGCCACAAAGATAAGAATAGAGTGGTTCCCAATGTAAATAATTTTGTTTTTGTAATTGTTTGATAGACTGAAAGTGAAAAAACAACCACTTCGTATCAAATTTGTTTTTTTTTTTCTTTTGCCTTTTCAGGCCAAGTTACGTTTATGGTGTCACTAACTTCCACCACTGTCAAGTCTTAAAAATGCCCAATGCAAGGGAAATAATTATTCCATATTTGAAGCATCGTTTTAAGAAACGATGAAATTATCAATTAAAAAAAAAAAAAAAAAATGTTAAAAAAAGTAAACTAAAACATTAGTTTTTCCAAATAAAAAAAAAAATTCGAGATGAATTTTGGGATCAAGTCAAGCTAACGTTCGAAACAATTTTTGTATACTAATATTGAATTATTTCCCTTAGATTGCTTCACGTCTCCACGTATTCAGAGCACATTTAGTAAATTGTAGCAGGATTTGTTTCATATTTCTTCAACAAATCAAATAACTAAGTGAATATGTATTTAACCCATTAATAATAATATCTACCGTAAAATCCAGTATTATAGGTTAATAAAAAAATCGGTATCATAGGTTTCGTAATAATTCATTTTTAAACCTAGGTATCGAAAATTTATGCCGAAAAAGTGGAGTTCCCTAACACGTTTTTCTATCAAAAGCAGAAAAGTATCGGAATTGGAGGACTGCAATAGCCTCCAAAAGCCCAAACTGACCCTAAGCAAATGAAGGGAAAAATTGTCTCGTATGGAATGTCAGACCACGTAACAGTTAACTTTTGTAATAATAAAAAAAAACAGGAATTCAAATTTTTAAGCTTTTAGTTTTCTTTTTTTATTAGCTTTATTTAATCTTCTAACGACTCGAAAAATCGAACTTTTTTTATGTCTAAAAAAAGATTTTAATCGACGAGGTGGTTAAATACAGTGAATGAAAATTGTACTTTAAGGTAGAAAAAATACATTTTTTTAATAACGTAACAAACAGTTAAATCATGATTTCCAAAAGTTTTTTACAGACGCCAGCGCGTGCTCTTGAACACTATTAGAAGGTGCTTGCTAGGGAGAATGTTTTCTTTGAGGAACCATATTTCTTTTTAAAAAAAAATAGCTAGCATTTAGAAGTGCAATAGCGATTATTACCTGGGAAATACATAAAGAACAGGAAACTTTTTTTTTTTTTCTTTTTTTTTTTTTTAAAAACTTACCTCAAGTTCTTATATATACTTGTGTGCACAGGAAGGCCATATGCATCGTACCCAGTGCTGGGAGAATAAACCCAGGTGCCACCAATCTGGGGCGCTTGTTCAAAACCGACAGCTTCGAAATCGATGAGACCTGACAGATCATTTTTTTTGGGTGTTGTTAAATGTCTCAAAACACACAGACCAGCAGCCCCGCAACCCACGACAGCAACTTTCATTCTTTTTCCGGGTATATTTGTTGTTGCCATCGTTTTTACTGTGTTGTCAGTATTTTTATTACTGTGGTTTCGCGATAAAATTGCATTTTTAGGCTTCTAGGCCAGATGATACTTTGATTAGAAAATAGTGTCAAGTTCAACAATTTTGACTTTTTATCCTTGCTGTTATTTTTCCACGAGAGCAAGTTGCGTTGATAATTGTAAAAAAGGTGATAGGAAAATTTGAACGGTTTCTGGAATGTAGATAACATATTTTTTCGTTGCCAAAACTGTCATTCTTTCGTTGTGTATGTTCACTAGGACAATTTTTTCCCCAACTGGTGGTAATATACCAAAATGTTTTATGGGCACATGAACTTTACAGATAGTTGAAAACTTTTCAATGAAAAGCAAATCCAAATATAAAATAATCTATATTTTAAATGAATGGAATGCTGTTTTGCTAAATTGGATATGAGTCATTCATATCATATGACTTTCTTTCTCATTTATCTTGTTTTTCGCTCTTCTTTTTTTTTTTTTATTATCATGAAATATTTTAAAAGCTGACAAAGTTCACATTTTCTACATGTACAACTGGAGACTTAAGTTGAAAGATAAGTTTAAAATCTTATTCAAAAAAGAAAATTGTCTTTGTTTCCTCAGTTTCTGCGAAGTATTGTGTCCAACATAATAGTAAAGAAAGATTAGAACTTTTATGTAATAAAAAATGATCATTTACATTTTAGTACAACCTGAATTTAATTACATAGTTCAAACAAAACTGAAGTTTTTATCATTTTTTTGAACTTGGGAATATTTATGCTCACAAACACCACACTGTCACTACACTCTAAAAATAAAACACTTTACTTTTGTTACCTCTTTCCAAGAGATAACATGAATTTTTGATCATTGAAGTGAAGTAATAATCAATTCATTTGCATTTAGTTTTTTGTTGCGTTTAAACGGAACTTAAACTTTTACACTTAAAGAAGAAGCTTGATGTGTTCTATATTTTATTCATTGAAAAAAGTATAAAATCGGACAAAAAACTTAAGTTCCATACAACTGAAAGACTATTAATGAACCAGTCGATTAAATAACATAAGATGTCATTTTTTTTGTGTATGTGAAATTTTAAACTTCTCTTAGTCTTCCTTCCATAACTTAAACTTTCAGACGGTTTCTTCGTCTTTCAGACACGTCCCAACTGAATTCAAGAATCCACTAAGAGATCATTAGCTTGTGCTGATCGTTTTTTCTTTAACCACTTTTATCGATTTACAAAGGACATATCATAAGCAAAAGTGATTAAAAAAATGTCAATAATGCTAAGTTTGTTCTACCGTTTTTTGTATTTTGGTTAATTTCTTCAACATCCTTATCTTACGGTGTTCGCTGAAATATAGTTCCCTTTTTAAAATTCTAATGCACAACACCACGGGTGGAACAAATTCACGTTAGGAAAAAAATTATTATTATTTTACATTTGCAATGATACAAGAAAAAGTAATACAAAATTATAAAGCATTACTTTACACTCAAGTGATATTGCTGATTAACACAATCATGCTGTTAAATTCTTTAAAGCTGAAAAAATTGAGGAACGATGTTAAAAATTTTTAACTTTTACTTAGTAGTAAAAACCTTCACAGAAAACGCGATACCTAAAGTAAAGTTTAAAAGATTTTAAAGTAAACTTCAACCTAGGTATCGCGTTTTTTAAACTTTAGAATGAATTTTTAAAAATAAAAAATCTTTCTTGAAGCTTTTCTTGGGTTCAATTTCAAGCTAATAAATTTAATATTTCCTGTAAACAAAAATACTTTGTTGCCGTATTTCAAAAACTAAAAAGTATGTTTTAAAATTGACTGGAAGGAGTTGTTTTTTTTTCATGTTAAAGTATTTGATTATGCGCCCTTTTTTAATCGTCTTTCATCGCAGTGTAATTCTCTTTATCAAAAGATTTTCAAAAAAAAAAAATAAAATATACTTTTTTAAAAATGTTTTTTTGATGATTATTAGCTGAATTAAAGTATAATTAATCTGATTTGGAACTAATATTTACTTTAGCGTTCTGTTTTTAGTTTAAAATCCATCACAGAAATGTCATTTTTTGTGTTTTGTTGCTCTTTTGGCTTTATCTGTCCAAAAAAAAAAACAACTGAACAATATATTTAGCACCTTTTGTACATAATTTTTTAAGTACTTTTAAAAATTTAAAAAAAAATTTCCTGAATATAATGTTTGATTTAATTTTAGATATTTTTGTTTTTAAATTTAATTTTTTGATCATCTCGTAATCTTACAAAATTTAGGAAAATATTTCCTCACTTTCCTAAAAAAAAAAAAAAAAAAAACATTTTAGATACGCTTTTAAGCCTATGAATATTTTAACATTTCTATCATCCTCCCGTTCTGTTTTATTCTCTATCTTTCACTGTAGCCACAAATAAGAACACTGCTGCTGAGATGCGTTAGCCTCCTCATTATTTCGTTGTTGTTTGTACAAAAAAAAAAAAAAAAAGGGGATGGGGAAAAGGACGGTCATCCTTGTCTTAAAATAAAACTTAGCTAACAACCACTGATCCTATCATACTAAACAATCCTCCTATCATAAAACAACATTTATCCATACCTTTCTTACTACATCCACCAAAATGCCTCTTTGATTATTTATTGTACTAAAATTACAAATGTGGCACAAGGCCGAAAAGGGGTTACGGTCATCACTTGTCTTAAATTAAAACTTAGCTAGCCACAACCACTGACCCTATCATACTGAAACAATATTCCTTTCACCAAAACAACACATTTATCCATACCTTTCTTACTACATCCACCAAAATGCCTCTTTGACTCAATGAAAATCCTAAATACACCCCTTATGTACAAATATTGTCTGTGGGGAGGCGGGCATAAAAAACAACAATTTTAAAAAATCCCTAATGAGTATATACAATATGTCGAAATATATTTACAAGAAACTAAACAAAATTAGTGTTAGTATTAAAAACCCCCACAAACTTTGAATGTGGCAGAAATATCATTTAACCGGACGAAATCGATGCGGGACTATGAAAATAAGGACACATTCAATCCGTCAAGCACTCACTCATTCATACACAACAACAAATACGAAAGCACACGCACGAAATGAAAGGCGCCCCGCATCCACCAGAGAACTGACATCACTGACCATCCTAAACGAGGGAGGGGACGGGGAGTTAAAATAAAAGGAAGAAAAGTGGGGACAGAAATAAAAAGGGGACCAATGAGCAAACACACCCTAGCTAAGTTTATCAGAACAGGAAAGAAAAACTAAACGAAAAATTACAAAATCCTACTCTAACCTAATTTCGGGATGGATTGCCCATGTTCAACCCAGGGAAACTGCGTTAGCCTCCTCTGGTCCTCTGAACTCTCTCACACATGCATATACACGTGCCTATTACACTTTAGTTTTACACAAAAAATGTTTTCTTTTTTCATATTCTTTTTTTGCAACACACAATATTCTATATTGTCTATCTTGTATACCTTTTGTTTTGTTAATACATACTTATCATATATATATATATATATATATATATATATATATATATATATATATATATATATATATATAGTTTTTTACTTTGTTCATTTATTACCCAGACTCACATTCCAAGTTTGCCATTTTTGTTGTTGGATAAATGTACTCAGAGACATGTTTTTCACCCTAAACACACCAGTACTCCCACAACAACACAGCAGAAAAAAAAATCAAAATTCTTTTAAAAATATTGGTTTTTGATGATTTGTACTAAGTTTTTCCATTTATGATTAGTAAATATAGATTTTACTTAATAATAATAATATCATCTAAAAGGTTGACATTAATACAGAATTTTAAAACTTAAATTATTCTAATTAAAATTTTTAAAAAATAATTAAAACAGTTTTTGTAAAAATTCATTATTCCCAATATTTTTTCTTAAAAGCAATTAAAAGCTTTTCTAATTTAATAATGTCATAATTTTATTACATCTTTATTTTACAATTTAGAGCAGATTTTCAGTAAATAGTATTTTTGTTTTACAAAAAAAAATTGATGATTTAAATTCTCCAAGGAATCCTGCTTTTATGTAATATAAATATGAAGAGGGTGAAATTTTAATTTCTCAAAATTTCATAAAATTAAATAAGCAGGAGTAAGATTTAAAAAAAAAAAAATTATTTTTACCAAGATTTTCTAAAAAAAAAAAAAAAAAAAAAATTATAAAATACTTAATTCCTCAGTCCTGAAAATTTCATTAAAATTAAACAATTATCTAATTTTTGCAAGAATTTCCAAATCAATATTTTTTTACCACCAAAAAAAAGCTAAAAATTTTTTATACTTTGGCACCTCCCACTGATGCAAGAAAAACAAGATTTTTAACCAAAATTTTGAATATGCTAGATAGGATTAAAAAATTTAATAAAATAATAAAAAAATAACTGTCTTTCCTATTAATAATAACATTTTACTGATTCACTGACCGCTAAAATCTTAATCTCCAAGTTTAAGGTCAACCAATATCTATCCTATATATCCTCATAATATGCACTTCTTCCTGTTTCCTTGCACCTTTACAACAATCTCCTTCAGTAACCCACCCCTTGAATTGCTCTTGTGATTTGTATTGAGTGAACAATAGTATTGAAAATGGCATCAGCAAGCTGAGTTCACGTTCAGTCCAAATCTGTTGAATTCATTTCAGATTGATGCCTTTAGAAAAAGGCACGACTTGGTCACTTGTCTCTGCACTCAGCTATAGGTCAAATTATTGGGCTTTTCTCAATATGGAAATAGGCAAGAAAAATCAAATGGACATAAAACTAATTGAATAAAAAAAAAACAAAAAAACCTTTATTTACAAGTAGGCTCAATGATTTACAAGTTGGGAATATAGAAACACAGGACGAAATAATATTTTGTGCCCCTCGAAGAGATTGAAAAAGGGATAAGGTTTATAATGGAAACTATTTCTATG